GTCTCTATAAACACCTGCATGTCCAGGAGACCAAATTCCAGATGTTCCAGCTAATTGACATTGCCCGACAGACAGCTCAGGGAATGGAGTAAGTAGACAGCTTGGTGAGTCCTTGTGGCCTGAACCCTGAGTTACCCTTGTGGGAACCTGATTGAGTGGCACCTGGGTGGGCTCTTTGACATCTGAAGCTCCCATTTCTCATCAACCAGACCTAGCTACCATCTGTAGGAGCCTTGTGCCCAGGCAGCAGGAATACGCTCTGCTCACCGGTGCTTTTGTCAATTAAAAAAAATATTTTCAATTGCATGTTTATATGGGTCTGTGAATGGCAGTGCTCAGATGGGTGGTCCTGGGGCTGGAGTCAGTCGTCAGTTGCCTAATGTGGGTGTTGGGAATCGAAATTGGGTCTTCTGCAAGAGCAGTGACATGTTAACCTCCAAACCACCTTTTCAGCCCTTTGTCACTTTGGATCATCCATTTTCTTTAAAAGGTCATCTTTTTACCTCCTGGATCCTCTGGATCTACGGAGCAAGATCCAGAGTTTGAGGCTAGCTTGATCTATAGAGCAAGTTCCAGAATAGCTAGGGCTACACAGAGAACCCCTGTCTCAAACAGCTAAAAAATAAAATTCATACAGAACTCTGAACTTTAACATTCACATACCATAAGAAGGCTTTCTTTTGGAGGTAGGGCTTGGGGGCCTTTCTATATTCAAAGTACAGCCATACTACTAAATGCTGCATTCTTACCATATAGAAAAATACCCAGCTAATGGCCATCCCCAGCTCCTGACAATTGGCCTTCCCACTGCTGGGTTTTGTCTTTGGTAAGTGGAATGTGAGGTAAAAAATCACATCCTTCATGCCTGGCTTTGTTTGCAGAGCAAATCCAAGTTGCAGTATGCAAGGCGAATTGCTACCCACAGTTAGCTGATGGCCAGTGAGACAGTCACAGTTATACTTTTGAGTAAAGCTGATGTTTGATGTCAGCCTGTTGACACTGTGGCCTTTCTATAGGTGACATTCTTAGGCTGGGAAGACAGGACCTTGGGTACCTTATTTATTAGCTATAGCTAATTAACTGATTGATTTTTCTCCTTCACAGCTATTTGCATGCAAAGAACATCATCCACAGAGACATGAAGTCCAACAGTATCCTTTGGTATTGAGTGCTCAGCTTAGGGACCCAAAGGGGCCTTTTTCTCAAATATGGTTCATGGTTCCAGGGGGGAGCTTTTTAAAGGAAAAAAAAAAAAAAAAAAAACCTGAAGTTAGTTAAGAAGCCAAACAGGCCCTCTGCAGCCTCCTCCTCACCTGGGCTGCCGTGACTGTCCACGAGAGTTCCTTCCTTAAGTTTTTTTCCCCAACAGTGATCTGTAAACAAGTCCTTCAGAGTTGGGATACAAACTTGGAATGAACTTGAACTCAGCCTGGTTGGATTATTCAAAGCTTGAGTTTATTAGCATCTATTTAAATCTTATCTGTGGAAGATTTGTGGCTGTACATACAGACGAAAAAGTAATTGCAAGTCAAGATTTTCAAGGTTCTGGATTTATTTCCCATCCTCGGATGCATATATGTGTTACCAACAAGTGCAAAGTGGTTGCTGCCTCCTGCTCACTTGGTCTAAGCAGCATAATGCCATCAATACAGTAGAACAATGTGATATTTGGTGGAAGTCACAGATAATCAAGATCCCTTCAAACTAACTTATGACACAGTTCAGGAGAGGTAAAACTGTAAAGGTGTTTTCCTGGCCTTGCCAACTAAAAGCAAATTGTTTCTGGTGATCCTTATGGACAGGTACCAAGAAAAGGCATTTTTCTTCAGGCTGGAGAGGTAGTTCAGAGGTTAAGAGCATTGATTGTTCCTCCAGAGGTCCTGAGTTCAATTGCCAGCAAGCACATGGCAGCTCACAACCATCTATACCGCCCTCATCTGGCCTCCAGGCATACAAGCAGACAGAATAAATCAATCTAAAGGAAACCGCACTTCCTCTTCCTCACACCAGTTGTGCACCTTTTATGCTGTGAGATGGTGCACAGTATGATGTGCAGTGTCAGGCCTAGCTGTGCTGCATTAGTGGCCCTGACCTTCTTGCTACACTTTCTTGAAGTAAAGTTTTTGGGCAGCTAAGCACTGCTCTAAGATATTGGTCACCAAGTGGACCAGTTCTAGCCAGTCTTTAAAAACATTCGGTGGTGAGGCTGCTGCTGTTTTGTTGCTGTCCTGAGTAGGGCACGTAGGCGGGGGTGGGAAGCTGGTGAGCAGTCTGAGGCCCAGTTATTGGGCCTACACCATCATTTCCTGCCTCCTGAAGATAAGTGATAAATTTCAGAATTTGATTTAGTAGTGAGGCGAAGGAGGTAGAGAGCCCTGTTACGAACGTTGACCTGTCAGTCTCCTTAACAAGCATTGAGATATATTTCTCCATGAAGGCCTCACGGTGAAAATTGGAGATTTTGGTTTGGCAACAGTCAAGTCACGCTGGAGTGGTTCTCAGCAGGTTGAACAGCCCACGGGCTCTGTGCTGTGGATGGTAAGGAAGCTGGCCCCACACAACTTCCTGACCGCCATGACGTATTGGCCCGGAGCAGGGTGCAAACTTGACATCATTTCTGCACATTTTGGGAGTCTGGTTGATCCCTGGTATCAGCTTAAGGCAAAACCACTTATCTCCTAGGAAGGCAACAGAGGCCAGAGCCTGGGGGGTTAAGTCTTTAGGGAAGAGCTACCCTGGGCTAAGGACTGGACTCCCTCCAACTAGTTGGAATAGCCTGGCTCCTGAATGTCTCTGGAGCCCATTACCCAGGGACTAACATACTTTGTCCTCGTAGGCCCCAGAAGTAATCCGAATGCAGGATAACAACCCGTTCAGCTTCCAGTCTGATGTCTACTCCTATGGCATTGTGCTGTACGAGCTGATGACGGGGGAGCTTCCCTACTCCCACATCAACAACCGAGATCAGGTGATCTGCACGGGGCCTGGCAGAGCAGCGCGGGGCCAGTTAGTCCCAGGGTCTGTCCTTCTTCACAAACTCCTCTGCTCACCTGTTTCCCTTTAGATCATCTTCATGGTGGGCCGGGGATATGTCTCCCCAGACCTTAGCAGGCTCTACAAAAACTGCCCCAAGGCAATGAAGAGGTTGGTGGCCGACTGTGTGAAGAAAGTAAAAGAAGAGAGGCCTCTGTTTCCCCAGGTTAGGTGGAGCTCACTAGCTCGAATACGATTACAGTCTGAGGTGGGCCAGGGGTCTGTGGGGAGAGGGCCTTCTGTGTGCTTAGACACCTGACTGAAAGGTATGGCTGGGGAGATAGCCAGTCCCCAGCTAACGAGACCACATCGGGGCCTTGTTTCAGATCCTGTCTTCCATTGAGCTGCTTCAGCACTCTCTGCCGAAAATCAACAGGAGCGCCTCTGAGCCCTCTCTGCATCGGGCGGCCCACACTGAGGACATCAATGCTTGCACGCTGACCACATCCCCGAGGCTACCAGCCTTCTAGCTGATGTTGTAGCTGTTCTTAGGCCATCAGGGGAAAAGAGTCAGCAGGCACCACTTTGTTTCCTTGGGGGCAGAATGCATGTTTTCAGAGAAGCTGCTGCTAAGGACCTAGACTACTCACAGGGCCTTAACTTCATGTTGCCTTCTTTTCTACCCTCCTGCCCTGGGAAAGGAAGCTGTCCACCATGCTAGCCTGCTCTGCTCCAGGAATACAAGTCAGCAGAGTATTTTAGAGCAAGAAAATGGCCTTGGAGAGAAGTCAAAGCGGCTTGCACTCTGGCTGCTGCAGGGACGTGCAATCGGGAACTTAGCTCGCTGAGCCTATCTGCTGCAGGGCGCAGACAGTGGTGCAGTGCCAGTTTTGCACATGGAGTCTTGGCCACCTGGGGGAGCCTGCTTTGGTACTACAGAACTTCACTTTATGGACACACCCTCTCTTACTGTGTCTAAGGTGTCCTGTGTGGATGGCTTTCCAAGCACGGTGCTCCACCTTCGGGCAGCCTCCCACACGCTGAATCTGTCTTCCAGAAGCTGCCCCTATGGGGTGGGCTGCAGCCCAGCCTATCTCTAGTCACATCCTTGTCTGTAAGAAAGCCAGGAATACAGGTTTTCTTAATGATTTTGGGTTTTAATTTTGTTTTTATTGCGCCTGACAAGATACAGTTATCTGATGGTTCCTCAATTATGTTATTTTAATAAAATAAATTAAATTTAGGTTTAATGGCTTCTGACTCCATCAAAAGTAATACTGAGCTCGCAGGCAGTATGGACACCCTATTTGTTTAGTTTCTTGTGTAAAACTCAAGGAGGGTCTGTGCTGTGTGAGCCTTTTCTGCAGTTATATGAACAGCTGAGTAAAAAGCAGACAGGTAATACCCTCCCCAACACACACACACACACACACAAGGAGTGCATTTATAAAATATCTGGTATCTACAGAGCTTTTTACAAAAATAAATTTAGGTTTAGAACAAACTTGCTGTGACTTACAAAGTTATACACACTACATTTACAATCCAGCTGTCTTGGTTGGCTTCATGTCCCCTCAGATGACTGTTGGGTCAAGACCACAAAAACAGTGTAGAGTGGGGCCTACTTTACAGGCGAGAACAGGCAGACTGAATGTGATGCCTCAGTGTCTTATGCTCTCTCTCACTATAAGGGGAGGATGGCGATGGAGTTTCCCTGGAGACCTTTATAGATAGGGTCTCTATCACTATAGGACCCACCCTTAACTGTCAACTGCTTTGGGACTCTGGAGGGAACTAAATCAAGCCTGACCATCCTCAGAGCAGTAAGAGTCTATGCTCTAGTGCAGCACCAACATGACCACGTGTTCTACAGAGGTGTATACATTCCAAGGCTCACAACACACTACATTAGAGATGGTCACTGCAGAGGAGCCCTCTACAGGGCTGGCGACGCCTTGGCAAGAAAAACAGATCTGCTGCTTTATGAGCAGCTCCCAGTTTACTGTTGCTTAAGAAAGTCACAAAAGAAAGATGGCAGTTGGGTTTCATTTAAAAGCAATCAATTAAAACAGCTGGACCACATAGCTGGTCCCCGGTAAAGGGGCTGGAGGTACAACTAAGAGCCCAACTCTAAACGTAGTGATTCCATGGACTTGGTTATCTTATGTCCTTCCCTTCACCAGGACTGTGAAAGTGGAGCATGAAGAGACCAAGGGGATTTGCTACCACACTCACATCCAGGTATCAGTGACAGAGGCTTTCGCACCCTGCCTTGGAAAGTTGTGACCGCAGAGCCCGAAATCAGTGTCAGCACTGATTCTAGGGTTCTGATGATTCTACTCCAGAAAGATGCATGAAGAGGTCTCCAAGCTCTGTCACGTCGACATCATCCGTGCTAGGGACATGCTGGGTTTCTCGGTTCTCGATAAAATCCCAAAGCCGCACTGAGTTAAAGAACTGCAAAAACAGCCAAAAGCATGCCTGGGTCAGTGGAGATGGCAGCAGACCGAGTGCTAGCTTGCTTTGCTTTTGTTGACCCCACTGCTCTGCTGCCCAAGTGTTGGGGAGGGGCCTGGGCAGTAGCTGGGAATCCCCACATCTCTAACCAGCTTACCCTCACAGTGCCTTCAGAACTCAGCTGCTTCCGAGGTTTCTCTGGCTCTGCCAGCCGCCCATCAGGGTAAGCATGGCGGTAAAGGCACTTGCTTCCAAAGGGACAGGTCCCCTTGCCTTGTTCAAAGTATTTACATGCCTTTTTCCTGAAAAGCACACACACAAAAATCAATCAATCAATCAGAGACCGATAAAAACAAAGAACAGCTACAGTCTTCCTGCGGGCCCACCTGTGACACTGGCAAAACCTAGGCTGGAAGAAGGACTTGTTGAAGTCACCGCTGGGATTCTGATTTCCAAGCTGGGCAAAGCTGCTGGGATGCACTGCGTGGAGGTTGCAGTGCTCAGTAGCAAGGACGGCCCTCCCCCCAATCCTAGCCGCTCCAGTGCCTCTGCACCAGGGCTGAGCGAGGCCTGGGTACTCCAGGTGCCGAGGTTTGAAGCTGATTCACCAGCTCTGCCCAAGTCTCCAAAGCAAGTGAGTTAGTTTCCTTTCCTCCTGGTCAAAAGTTCTGCCAAAGGGAGAGGGCAGCCTGGTAAAGCAGGTCTTGGATGCCTGAAGCTATGGCTGTCTTCTACCTTTAGAGCCTCGCTTAACTCTTTCCTTGTACCTTTGACCCTTCTCCACTGTTCTGGGATTTTATATTTTTAAATAAATAAATGAATAAATAAATAAATGAATAAAGTAAACTCTCAGGTCTCTAAGGGCCTTTCACTAGCCCCAGAACTGCCTCCTCATTGGGCATGGTGGCCTACACCTGTAATCCCAAACCTTAGGAAGCAGAGGCAAGAAGGTCTCAATGAGTTTTGAGGCCAGCCTAGTCTACAAATAGTTCCAGCCCAAACAGGGCTATAAATAAGACGCTGTATCAAAAACAAACCTGCCGGGTGATGGTGGTGCACATCTTTAATCCCTGCACTTGAGAGGCAGAGGCAGGTGGATCTCTGTGAGTTTGAGGCTAGCCTAGTTCCAGGACAGCCAGGGCTACACAGAGAAACCCTGTTCAAAAAGAAAAAAACAAAAACAAAAAAAAACAAAACAAAAACAAAAAATGGCCCAGAGGTGGTGGCGCACGCCTTTAATCCCAGCACTCAAGAGGCAGAGGCAGGCAGATCTCTGAGTTTGAGGCCAGCCTGGTCTACAGAGTGAGTTCCAGGACAGCCAAAGCTGTTACACAGAGAAACCTTGTCTCAGCCAAAACAAAGATAAAACACCACCAATAATAATAAAAACCACAAACAAGCAAAAAACCCCAAACAAAATACAAAACCAAACAAAATCAAAACCAACCACCACCACCACCACAACAAAAACCCCGAAACCCTGCCTTCCCTAGGTCCCACTCTCACACGTCCTTCCTCTTTCTTTCCAGCTCCCCTATCCGCCCACCAAAGTCAAAAGCTCTAGCTTGGCCACCTCACTCGGTGTTCTCAGCTCTCACATCCGTCTAAGCTATTGACAAAACAAATCCCAAACCAACTGGCCCTCTACTTTGCACTGTCCCATTCCCAGAGTATCACCCTGTACTGCCTGCCTGCCTGCCAGTCATGTCTTCCTTGACGTCCTCCCATCCCCACTAGTAAGTCTCTAGCCCCTTCAAAGGACCACAGTGGAGCTGTGCTGCCTACCCACAGGATGATAGGGTATTCAGGGCTCCACAAGGCTTTCTTCTTGCACCCAAGGGAGACCCAAGTGCCTTCTCTGTTCTGCCTTAGGCCACTAATGAAGAAATCTGCCACCACACTGCCGTGTCACACTTTGATGAGTGATGATCTCACTCATCTCTCTGTTGCCTGGTGGCACTGGGCAGACAGACGCTCATGTCCTGGAGAATGCTCAAGAACATCCACCAAAGGGACGCACAGCCAGGCAAGGACAACAGCACAGAGGCGACTTCTAACCAGCACAGCACCTTTCTAAGCCCAGCCAGCTCTGTCTTGCTGCATCTGCCCTCTTGTGGATGGACAATCATATGACAGGAGGGGAAAAGGGTAAAATGGCTAAATATTAAGTTATAGTCATTAGATAAACATAGAAACGTTTAAAACAACAGGAAAAAGACAAAAAACAAAACAAAATAAAAAACTTAAGGAAAAAAAGTGACTTTTGGCCAGGTATGATGGTGTAAGCCTTTGATTCTAGTACTTGGTTGACAAAGGCAGGTGGATCCAGGCCAGCCAGGGCTACACAGTGAGAGCCTGTCTCAATAAAAACAACAAAAAAGAACAAACAGAAAAGCCAGTTTTAAAGGGCAAATCTGATGTTGCCTTGTGGGTTTTGTAATATGTAAATATAACACACATTATTCATAATACAAATGACAAAGGACAGATACAAGGCAACAGGAATATTCTGTGAGAAATTCCTAGAAAAGCATTTCTTGAAAAAGATGCCAGATGTGTTGTGCATGCCTGTAATCCTAACACCAGTGCGGCTGAGGTCGATAGTTGAGGCCAGACTAGGTAACAGAGTGTGTTAAGCGGCATGACAAGCACGTGGGAGTCAGTCCTCATCTTGCACCTTCCTGCTCATTACTTTCCTCTGCTGGAGTGTGAGCTGTGTGAGGCTGGCACTGTCAGCTTCTTGATGTGTCCCCTGCAATGGACAAGGCCTGTGAGATGGCAGATCCTCAGCAGACACCTGGTAAATGCATGGAAAATCAGAGATGCCAAGTTCACCTAAGCACCAGGCATCAGTGCTCATCTTAGAACTCATCTGCTTCCTCAAGGCTACGCTCAGCTCTGCAGCTCAGAGCCCACCCAGCAAAATGCCTGACAGGAGCGAGAAGCTTTGAGATCCATTCACCAGGTCCACATTCTCGGGAAACCTGAAGCTGACAGAGGCTCAACCCCATCCAGCCAGGCGGGTGCCAGGACCCCTATGAAATGAAGGCACTTACCCCATTCCCTGTTTGAAAGCTTCAATCAACTCATTTTTTTTATTCTGATCTTCTACCCAGTACACACTTGGAATTACAAACTCGGATATCACACGGCACTCTGGACAAGACCTGAAGAACAAACAAATTAGGTTTGTAAGGGAGATAATAGTATCACGAATCCTTTGCATATTCCACTCTGAAACCCCTTGTTCAAATGCACAGCAAGAGACACAATCACCACTATCTAAGAGCAGCCTGTGCTGATGAAAAGGTTCAACTCAGTAAGAAAAAGATGTAAGCATTCATCCAGGACAGCCAATAATCACACAAGCAATGCTCATTATCCTCAGTGACTATGGAAGGCAAGATGACAGTAAGATATATTTTACTCCTGGGACAGCTCAGATTAGAAGTAAAGGCAAGTGTTGGAGAGGATGTAAAAAAAACTGGAATCCTTATCTGCAGGTAAGAGTAGGAAATGGCTTCAGTTAGATGCCAAGCTACTGTGACACTCCTGGGGTCTAGACTTGTATGAGTGCCCACTAGCTGGTGAGTAGATTACAAGCTATTTCTCAGTCAGAGCACTCTGTCACCCACACAGCATGCTTATCAGGGGTGGCCCTGGGAACATTTGCTAAGGCAAAGGCCATGCACAATGATGGGCAGAGCAAGGTGTTTGTGGAGAAAAACCTAGGTCGGGGGCTGACAGAAGACAAGAGGAATGGGGGATGACGAGGTTTCCGAAACTAGACTGCATATCAGCTGAGCAACTCTGGCAAGTACTGGCCACTGCAGAATTGTACTCTTCTATCTCAGTGAAGCTGCCGCAGAGGCAGGTTCCCCGACAATGTGCACCAGGCAGCAGGGAGTGCACAGGAGTCATATTCCAAGAGAGCATCAACCCCTTATCAAGGTGAAAAACCCCAAAGCATGAAAATGTTACAAGGCCACTAGCCTAAGGCAGACACAATGACCGTCCGGAGTCCATGAGGTCTACAAGACAGAACCCAGCCAGCAACAACTTACGGTTTTGCAACTTCCCCAACATGGAGAGATGGATGAGGCTGTCATTTAAGACAGATAGATGGGCTCTGGAAGGATGACCTGTACAAGCTCACACAGCTGGGGCCTGAGCTCTCGAGGGCAGCAGTCCCCATGCCCGCAGAGAAACCCAGCTGCACTCACTTTATGATCGGGTTTTCAAACTGTTTGGCGCATCTCCATTGGCGGATGCAGGAAAGGCAGTAGGTGTGACTGCAGCTGGAGAGAATGCCAAACCTCCTCTCAGAAGCAGACGCCTTCTCCAAGATCACCTCCATACAGATACTGCACACTTTGTCCTGGCTCGCCTGGAAGGCAAAAGCCTTTTCCATCTCGTGCTCAAATGTCGACATACACATCTGAGGACAACAGGGAGGAAGCTTTAGGTTCTCTTTGGCCAAGATCCCAGGAGCTGCTCAGTCACAGTCACAGTCACAGCAGTTGTTAAAAACAGTACCCACAGTCCCTGAATTCAGGACACAAAGATCTGACCACAAAGTGGACCTCAAGCCACCTGTCCTTGTCCTAGGTTCCCTAGTAGGATACGGTCACTACCAGTTTAGCAGCCATGGAGTTCTGGACCGCTTAAGTCACTGTGGGAGCTGCAGCCTTCATGAGCACTGGGTCACAGGTCTGGCTCTTCTGGATGTTGTGCCTATTCCATGCCACAACAATACAGGAAATGCCAAGTAACTGTGACTAGCTAAATGAATTCAAGTGAACGAAGGAGGATGAGAAGACCCAGGTCTCTGCTCTCAGAGCTGAGTGCATGTAACAGTGCCCTCTGCACGTGGATGAAGATGAGACCCAATCTGAGTTCCACAGCTGCTACTCCACCGTCCCATGGAAGCTGGACTGCCAGGAATGCTGTCTGCTGACATGTGCATTAGCAGCCCTCCTGGGACCAGGCCTTCTCTGTCAGAGAGGCCATGACCATTTTATTCCACGTAATTACCAGGTCCGTAGAGGAGGGAAGCTGGCCTCTAACACTGTAACCCTGGGCTTCTTCCCTTCTCTAATCCATCCTCATAAGCCTGGAATGAGCAGAGCCCAATGTAAGGCACAGCCTCCAGATGCCAGGGACATTCACAACCTTTCAACACTTGGCTCCCACGAGTTCACGATCAAAGGGACTAGAGATGGCACAGCAGTTAAGAGCTCTTGAATTTGGTCCCAGTACCCTCCTCGGGCAGCTTAAAACTGCCTGTAACTCCAGCTCAAGGATTCTACAACTCTCTCACCTCTACAGGTACTCAGACATGCGCGCGAGCACACACACAATTTAAATATCCATAATAAAGGTTTTTCAAAGTTTCCGAAATATTGGCTAGCTGGATCCCCACCGCAGAGATGTGTAAGCCTAGGGATGTGTGAGAGATTGAGTGTACATGTGGTATAGAAGGCAGGTACAGGTACATGTGCTCCTGAGTCGGAGCTGTTTGCTTTACTTTGTATTTCTTTTACTCATTAGTTTTTTTAAAGAATGTACTTAATGTTCTGGGAAATGAACACATTGAAGCTTTTTAAAACAATGATTTATTTCTTTTTAATTTTTATTTTACGTGCATTTGTGTTTTGCTTGAATGTATATGTGTGTGAGTGTGTCGGATCCCCTGTAACCAGAGTTACAGTTGTGAGCTGCCACGTGGGTGCTAGGAATTGAACCCCGGATCCTCTGGAAGAACAGCTAGTGCTCTTAACCACTGAGCCATCTTTCCAGTCCCTGACTTATTTTTATTTTATGTGCACTGATGTTTTGCCTACATGTATGTCTGCATGAGGGTCTTGGATCCCTTGGAACTGGAGTTACAGACAGTTGTGAGCTACCATGTGGGTGCTGAGAATTGAACCCAGGTCCTCTGGAAGAGCAACCAGTACTCTTAACCACTGAGCCATCTTTCCAGCACTACTTTGCATTTCTTAAAGCTTAATTATTTCTTTTTCACTATTATTCGTGTGTGCATGTGTGTTGTGTGTATACATGCACGAGGTTCTTATGGAAGTGAGAAGGGGATGTCAGACCCTCTGGTGCTTGAGTTACAGGAGGTTGCACAGAGCTACCCGAAGTGGGTGCTAGAAAGTGAACGTTGGTCCTCGGCAAGAGCAGCAAGTGCTCTTAATTGGTGAGCCATTTTTCCAGTCCTAAACTTTGCATTTCTAATACTTCTTATTCTTCTGTGTTCCAATTAATCAAAAACTGATCAATTGGCAACAGGAAAAGAGCTTGAAAACAGAGTACAAACAAGTCAGGTACACAACACAGGCAGTCCTGGCAGAAAGATAGCTTTGAGAGTCCTGACTCCAGCCTGTGGTACACTCAGGGTTCTTAAAATGAGTTCATGCAAGGCTTTCAAGTTACCTTCTCATGAGCTTTCCTTTGTTCTGGGTCAAAGGGGTGCAGGACTTGAAGCCTGCAGATCTCACACATGTCCCCATGCAGGTAGACACAGGCATCTCCAAACCGGCACTCCCCAGCAGCAGCATAGGGGCACAACTGCGGCTCACTGCTGTAGGAGCTGCTGGCCTCCAAGTCATCTAGGCCACTCCTGATGGCATCTAGGTAGGAATGGGGCTTCATCTCTGGGCTGGTCTGAGGGTCACTGCAGCCACCTGGATTAGTCACTGTGCTCGGGAGAGTCTTCTCTTCAGCCAGGCCAGTGAGATCTCAACACAAAATGCACA